GGAGAGAAGGGAGGAGAGGGGAAAGGAAAGAGGAGAGAGGAGAGAGGAGAGAAGAGTGAATAGAGAAGAGAGAAATGAGAAGAGAGAAGAGAGCAGAGAGAAGAGAGGAGACAGGCAAGAGTAGAAGAGACAAGAAAGAGGAGAGGAGAGAAGAGAGAAGAGAGGAGAGGAGAGAGGAGAGAGGATTATAGTTGCATGTACGTGACACGTGTCTGCATTCGGGTTCGTGGCTCCTATCTGGTTTAATCACCAGCTCTGCTTGACACCCCGGAAGCACTGTGCAGAACCTGCATGTTTTCACAGCTGTTCCAGCCAGTGGGTTGCGTGCTTGCCGCGTGTACTTGCTCATCGGCATGTCGAGGCTCAATTCAGCAGTGATGAATTTCACTGCATCAGCCATCTGGGCCTCATCTGCTGTCCGTAGGGACTATGGTGCATCAAATCATCAAATCTAAGATTGCTTGTGAAAAGCTGTGCCTTCTTCGCGGCACTTTTGCTGCAGCGAGTTGCGGAGACTTCAGAAGGGGGAACGATGAACCAAGGCATTACCATGAAGGTATGGTTGGTTTACCCGGTTTGTTAGCAGGATTTGCCTTGGGACTTGGCTTCATGCTCTTAGCATTCTGCCGGACTACGGTCGTGCTCCGCCTGGGCCACCTGACGGCGTTTCGATGATTGGACTCCCATGGGTACTGAAGAAATCGCATGCAAAGCCATAGCAGCTTGCCCGAAAAAAACAGGGAGTCTCCTGTTATGTCTTACTCTCCTTGCTGTTGCGAACACTCGATGATGCTCTTGGTAGGCCATGCATTATAAAACTCTTGAGCCGGGTCTTTGGACACATCTCGGACCAGGCAGGATGCGCCGCGCCTTGAAAATCTTCAGCTGCGAGGTAAACTCCCGCAACTCTACATGGGGAACCTCCACGCCTGCATGTTCGTCAATGTGTTAAACAGTGCTGCCAGATGTGTGTAGCATAACAGTGGTAAATGAGCAGTGGTCACAGTGAAGCAGAATAGACTATCTGTGACTTGTATGGGCTCACGGAGAGACAACAAAGCAAGCCAAAGAAAAAAAACAGTCCCAGGAACTGTGAAGCATAGAGGAACAGCAAGAACCCATGCATGAGCTACAATGAATTCTGCTGCCCAGCGCACTCTTGTTGCCGCGCCGAACTGCCGCGACCTAGGCCAGTCATGTGAGGGCCAGTCATGTGA